TATGCTTTTATTTAATTTTTTTACGGATTATAATTTTTTTGAAAATCTCTTGTACAATAAGTTCATTATTAATTAATTAATAAACCTTAAAGATCATTTGATATTTTATTTTAAATTATATAAAACAAATAATTTTATGTGTTTTCTATTTGAAATTTTTATTAACAAATATTTTCCGCACAACAACACAAAATATATAGGAATTATTTTTTTAATAAAATATATGTTTTATATTTTGAATAATTCTTAATATTATTAATTTTAATAACTTATCTTATCGAGTAAGCTTTAAATTTTAAACTCGTTTCTATTTTTTTGGCTAATTTATATTTTATTCATTAAGAGTAAAAGTAGAAAAAATATTAAACACTAATTTTAACGTGCAAGCTTGAATGAAAAAAACCACTTCACAAATAATAGCATAACTAGGTGATTTTCTCGTGTTCATGCACGGATTTATATATTATTGTCGGTTTAATTATTTTTTGGATCAATAGTCGGTTTGGTTATCAATTTGGTATTTTGAATAATATCTATTTTCCGAATTCAGCTATAATATGTTTCATTCTAAATATAATAAAATTTTGATTAATTTTCTTATTTTCATTTCAGTTGGTTATTGTCGTAGATATGTAAATATACTATAGTTAAATATGTATAAATTAATATAATGAGCTTAAAATGAAATAAATAATAAACTGGAGTGTTTGATTCAAAATTACATAAATGAATAAAATGATAATATTTTGAAGTCTCATTCATATATATAAATTCTACAAAAGAATTAAATTGTAATGGGTTAATATTTTCTTTGTATGATTTGGTCAACCTCTAGTTTATATGTATAAAATTAAGTAGATTATTATTATTATTATTATTTTAAAATTGGATGTTCTTATTGTAGTTAGATGTTTAATTTTAGATATAAATTAGATTAGTCGAGCATTAATGTTGTGACTATATTGAGTTAAATATATTTATAAATTAAAATTGAAGTATAACTACTGTTTATTTTAGTTAAGTCAAATTAAATTAATTTTATTTATCGCTTAAATATACTTGTATATTCATAATATTTATTTACTCTTTATTTTAGATAAGTCAAATTTATTTATCGCTTAAATATACATGTATTTTCATAATATTTATCAAATTATATGTTGATTTCTAAAAAATATTAGAAAACAAAGTGTAACTGATAAATTTTTGGATGTTCATGAACATATATATTTTTATTATTTTAAAATATATTTTATTTTATTTTAAAATATATTTTTGTTTATTTTAAAATATATATTAATGGGGATATTACTATTTTGTGAACTTTTCTTTTTAATAAAGTCATATTATATACATACATTTTCGTTTTTAAATTTGTTTAAAATTTTAGAAATATTTTCTTTTTATTATATATGTTATTTAAAAAATATTAAAAAAGAAACTACATTAAAAAATTAATAATAATCTTAAAATCTAACAATTCATTAAAGATATCTATCTAGTCAACCATCGTGATAGTTAATGTGAGTGCGACACGTAGGAAATTGACTTCTCAAATAATATTATAGAGATATAGCATTTAGAATTTTTTATTACGTAGTAGTGTATATATATGAATAAATATAAAAGTGTAACCAAATTATAAAAATAAATAACACAAAATATATATTATATTCTGTTTAAAATATTTGACATAAAGTAAAGCTACAGAATTTGGACCGACAATTTAAATATAGATTTTTTTTAATAAATAGACTTTGTGATCTATCCTATATTATTTGAGCACGAAATTTATCTATTCTTTATGTGCCAATTTACAGAAATTGTAGGATGAATATTGTTTGATATAAGATTTTGTTAGATCTTCATAAATCAAATATTTTAAATAGGTCAATAAAATTGGGTATAAAATAAAAATATAATATATTAATAATTTATAGATATATATAATTTAGTTTAATTTAATTTGTTAAGTTACTAATAAATTGATCTAACAACAGATCTTGATAAAGTAAATTTTTTAGTAACTATTTTAATAGGGTAGATATCAATCGGATTCCTACGTACTTCCCATGATGAATTAAATAATTTGCACTTTTTTCTAATTGATTGATTAGTTGTTACTTGTTAGTGGTCGTTACACGATACTACAAGAAAAAAGAATCCAAAATATCCAGCTTTCAATAATAATCTTTATACCAGGATAAGACATGCGTTTTGCGCAGGATATATCTAACTAAAATATAAAACTTTAGTATTGACAAATTTAAAATTTACATATGTTTGTTTTTATATGTATTTGGAATTTTGGAACTTTTATATAATTATCTATTCGTAGAATCAAAAACAATTGTAATTAGAACTGTAGATCAAAACTTAAAATTTAATGTATCCGGTTCATATATTTTTCACTTTTCAGTGTTCGAGTGATGAAAAATAAACAGAGTGTCCCAAGATTTAATTTGGCAAAACATTATCAAGTTTCATAATGCTTTCTTAAGAAACATTTGGTAGAATATTTGCATTTAGCATATATAAAGTTTCCAAAATTTAATATAATTTATTTATTTCTGAAATGATATCAGAATTTTTTTTTAAAAATAAATTTATTTAACAATAATTTTATAAAAAAATTAAGTTAAATTATCAATTATAATTATGTTTAAAATAAAACTCTTTATTCATATGATATGAGATATATATATATATATATTAACATAAACACCTACTAAAATAAAACTATTTATTCATATGATTTTATATCATTGTAATTTGTTATAGAAAAAAAAATAGACTTTGATCATAAAAGTTTATGTGAGATTTTTAACAGTTTTAGTCATTTATTTTTGTTTTGAAAATTTTAAAATACAACATATATAAAAAACTCTAAATTTTTATTATATGATTAGTGTAGTTGTGTAATTTATTTTAATAATAAAAAATTAAACAAAAATGATATAAAGTATACATATTGTTAACCAATCTTTATTATTTAAAATCATTAATAGTCATATATATCTTAATTACATTAGGTAATTCCGTAGGTTTTATTTAAGGAGATAATATATAGAAGATTTAGTTTGATATGTTATTTAGTTTGATATGTTTTATATGAGACCAACGGACTTTGTATTAAAACTATACTTTATATAAGGTGTTTTAGAATTTTTTTAAATTGAAATAGAAAGCATAGAGAGGTGTCACGTAAGATAGAGTTATTTTTTAATTAATTCAAATTTAAGGTTACAACTTTTCAAATGTTTTTCAAATTAATATATAGGGGATTTTGAATAAATATAATTGCATTCCTACCATATGGTACCCACGAAGAATTAAATAATTTGCAACTTCTGTAAAGGCTTGCACATTGACAATAATCCGAAGCGTGTTTGCTTAAAATACTAATCTCCATACTTAAAAAGCAATATATTGTTAGCTGGATTCCTCCATCCATGAGGAGTTAAATAGTTGTGTTTGCATTTTGAAGCAAAACACATTTCAGAAACAAGGAGTAGTAATAAAGTAACATGGATCACAAAGAAATTCATGTGAACTTGAGAGAAGACATGGTAACTGAAGAGACGAGGAAACTCATTTGTTCACTTCTTAAAGACAAAGATTCTCAAGGGAATCTCTGCAAGTACCAAGGATGTTGGTATTACTGTGTTTCAGAATTTGGTATTTGAAAATGTTTATATGAAATGAAACTAGATTAGTCAATAATATTTTTTTACTAAACTTAGTTTATATTTAATAACTAGGTGTTTCATCCGCGCATGCCGGCTTAAGCATTGAAATTACTAATTAAAAACTATAATAATATATTAATTTTATGCTTTTATTTAATTTTTTTACGGATTATAATTTTTTTGAAAATCTCATGTACAATATGTTCATTATTAATTAATTAATAAACTTTAAAGATCATTTGATATTTTATTTTAAATTATATAAAATAAATAGCTTTATGTGTTTTCTGTTTTGAAATTTTTATTAAAAAATATTTTCCGCACAACAATACAAGACATATAGAAATTATCCTTTTTAATAAATATATGTTTTATATATTGAATAATACTTAATGTTATTAATTTTAATAACTTATCTTATCAAGTAAACTTTAAATTTTAAACTAGTTTTTTATTTTTTTCGGTTAACTTATATTTTATTCATTAAGAGTAGAAACAATATTAACCACTAATTTTTAACATGCAAGCTTGAATACAAAAAAAACTACTTCACAAATAATAGCATAGATATAAATTACATTTAGAATTTTTTTATTATGTAGTAGTGTATATATATAAATATAAAAGTGTAACCAATTTACAAAAAGAAATAACACAAAATATTATATTATATTCTGTTTAAAATATTTGACATAAAGTAAAGCTACAGAATTTGGACCGACAATTTAAATATAGATTTTTTTTTTATAAATAGACTTTGTGGTCTATACTAATATTATTTGAGCACGAAATTGTAGAAATTGTAGGATGAATATTGTTTGACATAATATTTTGTTAGATTTTAATAAATAAAATATTTTAAATCTTAACTAATAAAGTTGCCTTTTTTCTCTCCATATAGGGATGAAATACACGTGTCATTCTTTTTGCTAATGGGCCTTACGTTTTTTGGTTCTCTGGGCTAATGGTTTTGTTTTGCTGTGATATAACAACAGATCTTGATAAAGTAAAATTTTAGTAACTATTTTAATAGAGTAGATATCTATCGAATTCCTACTTCCCATGATGAATTATAATAATTTGCACTTTTTTCTAATTGATTGATTAGTTGTTACTTGTTAGTAGTTGTTACACGATACTACAAGAAAAAGAATCCAAAATATTCAGCTTTCGATAATAATCTCTATATTTTGAACAAAATATAATTGCATTCCTACCATATGGGACCCATGAAGAATTAAATAATTTGCAACTTCTCTAAACGCTTCACATTGACAATAATCCGAAGCGTGTTTGCTTAAAATACTAATCTCCATACTTAAAAACAATATATTGCTAGCTGGATTCCTCCATCCATGAGGAGTTAATATAGTTGTGTTTGCATTTTGAAGCAAAACACATTTCAGAAACAAGGAGTAGTAATAAAGGAACATGGATCACAAAGAAATTCATGTGAACTTGAGAGAAGACATGGTAACTGAAGAGACGAGGAAACTCATCTGTTCACTTCCTAAAGACAAAGATTCTCAAGGGAATCTCTGCAAGTACCAAGGATGTTGGTATTACTACAACACTCTCCAAGCAGTCATCAACTTCCAGAAGAGTTTCCAGCCACAAGACACCGATATAATCCTCGCTTCTTTCCCAAAGTCAGGCACAACTTGGCTCAAGGCACTCACGGTAGCACTCTTGGAGAGATCTAAGCATGAAGATGATCCGCTGAACCATCCATTGTTATCCAACAATCCTCATGCCTTAGTACCATTATTGGAGAGCTCAACACCGGACCTAACCAAGTTCTTACCATCATCGTCTACTAGGCTGTTTTCAACTCACATGCCTTTTCACACCGTGAAAGAAGGTCTCAAGGGTTATCCTTGCAAGATTGTGTTCATATGCAGGAACGCAAAGGACGAGTTGATATCTAGGTGGTATTTCAGGTGCAAGTATGAGAATGTTGAAGTAACTAGAAGCATTCTTGAGTCGATGTGTGAGTCCTTGTGCAGAGGATCCACCTTCTACGGTCCCATTTGGGACCATGTCCTGAGCTATTGGAGAGGCAGCTTGAAAGATCCGAGTCATGTCCTTTTCATGAAGTATGAGGAAATAAAAGAAGAGCCTTATGCTCAGCTCAAGAGACTTGCGGAATTCATAGGTTGTCCTTTCACCGAGGAAGAAGAAGAGAGTGGAACTGTGAACAAGATCGTGGAGCTCTGCTCCCTGCGTAGTCTTAGCGACTTGGAGGCCAACAAGACTGGAAAAACCCTTAACGGCGTGGATTACAAGTTCTTTTTCCGAAAAGGAGAAGTCGGGGACTGGAAAAATCACCTCACTCCGGAAATGAAGAGCAGGATCGATATGATCATTGAGGAGAAACTGAGAGGTTCAGGCTTGAGTTTCTAAGAGTATTTGTATCATATGTTGTTGTGTTTCTATTATGAACTTAATAAGATTTTCACATTGTTACTCTGGTTAGATGACCAACATTCTCTGATTCTCTTCAGCTGCTGCATTAACGTCTTTTATAATGAGTTATCTCTTTCCTGGAAACTCTAGTCAAGGTCCGTTTTATGCTTTGAAAATGTTTTGGAAACACGATGAAAACTTGTGTTTCTGATTACTCGCGATTTTGAATGAAAATGCGAAAGAAATAACTATTTGCCATTTGATGTTAGTGATTACATGTTTATTAACTTATATTTTAATATTATCTTTTGATATTTGTTATCATTTTGGTATAATGATTTGATTTGGAATGAAGTAGGCTACATAGTTTTATCGAAGGATAACATTTGTTAGTTTTATAATTATATATTAGAATTTTTATAAAATGTACAAAAAAATTAACACTTTGTTACTTGATTTTCTCTCTTAGATAAATCAAACAAAAAATTAAGTTTACATGTTAATTAATCACATATATATATATATATATATATATATATATATATATATATATATATATATGTGTGTGTGTGTGTGTGTGTGTGTGTGTGTTATAGACGTTTCTAAAATGTTTCAGTTTCTAATTTTTTTTGAAAATCATGTTTCTACGTTTCGTTTCTATATATATGTGTCCGATTCCATGCAACATAGGTAAATTATATGTTTCCCATGATTTTTAATGAAGAAAAATAAAAGGTTTTTGCCGAAAAGAGAATTGTTATAATTAGTTTGAATTTAATGACTTTTATAATCTACTAGATTTTGATCAGCGCTTTGAAATCGCATGATTTTTTGTTATAATCAAATACAAAAATACCAAAAACGATATGCATATTTTATTAATAAAAAAATTTTCACTACTATTATAAAATTCTAATATAGATTGTCAATTTCAAAATCAAAATGAATTTCTCCTACTATATAGCTAACTGAGTATTTTTTGAAATGCATTATCGTGGTGAATAGTGATCTGTGTTTTAACAGTGAATTTAGGGCTGAAAATTTATGATAAAACAGTATTTATTTACTTTAAAAAAAAAATCGTATTCCTAATATGCGATCTTTAATAAAAATTTAATGTGTGATATATTCAATTATTTCTTCCAATTTAAAGTTATATAATAAATCATTTATTAGAAGCTTTATTATGTTTTATTGGAATTATAAAAATATTTTTGATTTTTATTTAAGAATTAAGAATTGAAAGTGACACTTATTTTGGAATGTGCAAAATAGAATTTAATAATATTTTATAACGGTTTGAAACTCTATATATTTTATAATGTTTATAATGGAATGTGAAATAAATAAATTATATTAAATTAGTTTTGAAACTTTATATATTTTAAATGAAAATTTATTATCAACTGCTTCTTAAGGAACCATTAGGGACCTTGCTAATACTCTACCAATCAAACCCAGTGACACTCCATTTATTTCCCATCACTCGAACACTGAAAAGTGAAAAGATATGTGAAATCGGGTCCATTAAATTCTAAGTTTTGATCTATAGTTCTAATTACAATTGTTTATGATCCTACGTATAGATAATTATATAAAAATTCCAAAATTCTAAAATTTCAAATACATATAAAAACAATCATATGTAAATTTTAAATTTTTCATACTAAAATTTTATATTTTAATTACATACATTTACCATGCGCAAGGCGAAGGTCTTATCCTAATTCCTATAAAATTCAAAAACCTATAATCTGATTTGATCGCATTTATTAGTTTTTTCTAGTTTACTTTAGATCATTGCATTCCTAACTAAACATAAAAAAAAATCTCTATTTATTGCATTGTTTCTATATTTGCCTCATTTTTAAGTATTCAATTTAAAATCTAAAGAAAAATCAATCATCTTATTTTATATTATTTGGTCCATATTGTTTCAGTTGCGTTAAATAGGTTTTGTCCAAGCATTCATCGCGTTTCCTTCATTACTTACTGGATCACATATTCACATGCACCAGGTCAGACCAACAACAGCAGCCCGGTAATGATGACACTGGTAGAGACATGCAGTGTCTGTACGAGGGCGAACAACAGTAACCCATCCATAGGCTTAGGAGGCATGGACGAGATCGAGTTCTAGATATAGGAAGATGCCATGAACTAGAGGAAGAGGTTCCAATGCAGGAGGCAAAGGCTTGAAGCTCACACCATCTACCTTTCTTTGGAAGGTATTAGGAAGATATGGGAATATGCGATATTAACATATCTCTTTAGGAAATATTGAAGTCAGTTTAGTATATTTCATGTTTCTTTCTTGTCAAGTTTGTATATATACCTTAAAAAGCACGTTTGTTATCATAAGAAAGTCTTCTCTTAATATTGAGAATTAGTATTACATGGTATCAGAGCACAAAATTCGGTGACCTAGTTCTCAATCCGTTGGTATCATCCTTAAGGTTTCAAAGTTATTGAATCAGTTGATTTGTGTGGTTGGAGTCTCGAAGTTCGAAGTCTCTTTGAAGAAGTTCTTTTCTCTGATTGGGAATTGTTAACTAACATATCTCAATCATGGCTGGTATTGAAGGTGAAGATTCTGTTGTGTCCAAAAGCGGAGTCTCTCAAGGTGTTGAAGTTAAAACTTCATACTTTCTCCATGCCTCCGACAATCCCGGAGCGATGATTACATCAGTGACGTTAATAGGAGAAAACTACAACGAATGGTCTAGTGAGATGACCAACGCTGCGAGCGAAACGTAAGCTTGGATTCGTCGAGGGTACCATACCAAAACCGCTGGCAACTGATCCAAATCTGGAACTCTGGCTCTCTATCAACTCTATGATCGTAGGGTGGATTCGGACCTCGATCAAACCACGTGTTCGCTCAACTGTTACCTTTGTTCAAGACTCACACAAGCTATGGGAGAATTTGAGAAAACGATTCTCAGTTGGCAACAAGGTGCGTGTGCATCACTTGAAAGAACAACTCGCAGTATGTCGACAAGATGGTATGTCTGTGATCGAGTACTATGGCCTTTTGTCAAAGATTTGGGGGAGCTGGCTATGTACAAGCCCCTTCCCTTGTGTTCGTGTTCTGCGATGGCAGAGTTTGAAAGAGATAGAGAAGAAGAAAAAGTACATCAGTTCGTTATGGGACTGGATCAAGAACGTTTCGGTGGTATGTGCCATGGAATAATCTCATCTGATTTTACACTAGACATTGGAGAGATTTACGCCAAGTTGATAAGAGAGGAACAACATCTAAACTCAGTTAAGGAGAGAGAGTTGCAACAGAATGTTGTCGGGTTTGTAGTCAAGAAGGAAGCTAGTTCAGTGAATCCTGATAAGCAAAGTTCACGCAATCGTGTTTCTCAGTGTTCACATTGCGGTCGTTGTGATCATGAGAAGGTAAACTGTTGGCAATTAGTTGGTTTTTCCGACTGGTGGGAAGAGCGCACAAATAAAAGTGGAGGTGGAAACAGAGGAGCTTACAGAGGTGGACGTGGTCGTGGCAGCTCTGGTTCGGATGGTACCAGAAACAGTGGAGCAAGAGCACATGCTACCACGTCTAACTCGTCTAGATTTCCTGAGCTCACACCGGAGCAGTGGCGAACATTGACTCAGATGATTAATGAAAAGTCCTCCGATAAGTTATCTGGTAAGAGTAAACTCGGTGATTTGATACTAGACACGGGAGCTTCTCATCATATGACATGAGATATTTTGTTCCTCATAGGCACAAAGAGTATCTTACCGTGTCCAGTCGGCATTGCTGATGGAAATAAAGCATATGCCACACACACGGGAACGTTTCCCATGACTGATCGGATCTCTCTTGATCATGTCTTGTATGTGCCGAATTTAAACTGTTCTTTGATATCAGTTTCGAAGTTGCTAAAACAGACGAATTGTTTTGCTTTACTAACTGATACAATTTGTCTATTACAGGATCGTTTCACGAGGACCCTGATTGGAGCCGGTAAGGAACGAGATGGGGTGTACTACTTCACGGATGTCATGGCTGCTAGGGTTCATCGTGTATCTGCTCCTGTTGCTAAGTCTACTGATCACCTTCGTTGGCACCAGAGGTTGGGACACCCATCTACTTCAGTTTTATCTAGTCTACCTATGTTTTCGCCTAATACACTAGCTACCCTGAGTCCTTGTGACACATGTTTTAGGGCTAAGCAAACTAGAGTAGTGTTTTTTGACAGTATTAATAAATCAAATGAGTGTTTTGCTTTGATTCACTGCGATGTTTGGGGTCCATACAGAACTCGTGCTTCTTCTGGTGCAGTATATTTTTTGACAGTTGTTGATGATTATTCAAGAGCTGTATGGACATATCTCATGCTTGAAAAATCTGAGGTCCGTGTGATCTTAACTAATTTTTGTCGTATGACATTAAATCAGTTTGGTAAAACAGTTAAGATAGTAAGATCCGATAATGGAACAGAGTTTATGTGTTTTGCATGATTCTTTCGAGAAAATGAAATCCTTCATCAGACTTCTTGCGTAGACATGCCTCAACAGAGTGGACGTGTTGAAAGAAAACATCTTCATATTCTCAATGTAGCTCGTGCTATATTATTTCAAGGGAGTCTACCAGTGAGGTTTTGGGGAGAAGATATCAGGACAGCAACTCACCTTATCAATCGAACTCATACGCCAATTCTTCGCAATGCCTCACCATACGAAGTTCTATACGGAGAAAAGCCGAGTTATGAGCACCTTAGAGTATTTGGTAGTCTTTGTTACACCCACTTAAGAGCTCGCAACAAAGACAAATTTGGTTCACGAAGTCGTAAGTGTATTTTCGTCGGTTATCCTTTTGGTCAAAAGAGCTGGAAAATGTTTGATGTTGAGAAGGAAGAGTTCTTTATATCTCGAATGTTATTTTTTATGAGGATATTTTCCCTATGGCCTCTGTTTCAAGTGATTCGTCTGCATTGTTACATGCTCCTCCAGTGTCTCCGCACACTGCTAGTGACACCGACTGGTTGTTCTTAAGTGCCCCTACTCAACTCGACAGGGGGAGTAATGAAGTCACTGATGTTGCAGAAAATACTACTATAGCCGACGAAGTGCAGCTTGCAATACAAGAGTCACCGTCTAGTGAACCTTTGTCTACACCACCTGCGAACTCTACAGAGGAGATTCAGGTAGTTGCAGACATCGACACTAGAATTGTTCAAGAATCTGAGCTAGAGCAAGCCGCTTCCAGTACTGATCCCGTTTTACTTGGCAGAGGACAACGAGTT